AGGAGATTGCAAACAACTCAAATTATTTTCCTTACTTTAAGGTAAATTAAATACATACAACTTAATAATTTTCCAAATAAACTTTTTTTTATTTAACTATGTATAATTTATAATTTTTTATAGGACTGCATATGTTTGATAGATGACACGCACGTCGACGCGGTGTTACCTAGTGACCTAGTTGCACGGTTTAGAGGGCGAAAAGGGGTCACCCGAAACATCTTATCAGCCTGCACCCCCAATAAACTATTTACTTATGTCTTGGCTGGCTGGGAGGGGGCAGCAAATGATTACAGGGTATTACAAGACGCCCTGTCCAGGCCACAGCCTTATGGGCTCCGAGTTTACGATGGTATTCATTCTCACTTGTGCACATTATGAATAATATATTAAATACTTGGCAATATTTGAGATTTTAAAATACTGTTTAATTAATGTAGGTAAATATTACCTATGTGACGCTGGATACACCACAATGCCAGGTTTCATATCCCCGTATCGCGGTGTCCGATATCATTTAAAAGAGCACACCGGTAGGACACCAAAGAATAGGAAGGACTTGTTCAATTTAAGGCATTCATCTTTAAGATCAAAAATTGAGTGCACATTTGGGATACTGAAGAATCGGTTTAAAATTCTTGCGGGGAAGCCGAATTATCCATTTCCCACTCAAGTGGACATTGTACTAGCGTGTACTGTGTTGCATAACTTTATTGCCTTGGAGGATCCGGATGATGATATTTTAAATAAAAATGTTGAAATTGATGAAGATACTGGGGAAGAGACAAATGAGGACGATTCAAAATGTGGTGGACTATACTCAAAGTAGGTCACAAAGAGAGGATCGAGATGTTAGAAATGAATGGAAGGAGTTACGAGATCAAATTGCTTGGGCGATGTGGGTGGATTATTGTGCAAAGTACAATGGTGGTAACACAATGGAGAGCGGTTTAACTTAGTGTGGTATTTGTCCTATGGCTATGTAATAACTTGGTGAATTTTAAAATACTGTTCGCATCGATATCGTTTATTGTTTCTTTGCTTGTAACAAACCATTACTTCTTTTATCACTTGCTATTTTGTTATGTTGTTTGAACTAGAAATATCATCGTTTACTATATTCCCTGCTAAATGCATACATATCCCATATTGTTTTATATTTCTTTATTGTTAATATGGCTATGCTTACAAAATATATTAGGTATGGCTAACAATCCGGCAGATAAGCAAAGCGTGCCTTCTCATTCGAATGCAATGCCAAGTCCTACATCAGGGATTAACATGAACTACATGCCTGTTCGACCACAGCCATTCACCTCACCTCCGCATACTTTCTCACCATTCCCACCATGGGATGGTAATTATGGTGGGATGACACAGCCGCCAATGTCATACATGAGCTTGTTAGGCAGTCCACAAGGTTTGATGTTTCCCACAGCCAGTTCTTAAAGTAGTGGACCTAATCAATTTTCACCGAACACCGGTGATTCAGTTGGAAAGGATATTCATGACGTTGATGGTGCGGAACACACTTCGCCATTGAAAAGAGGGAAAAGATTAGCCCATAAAAAAAAGTTCCGTGTACCAGGTTGAACTCAAGAGGCGTGGCTAATAAGTTTTGGCTTCCAGAGCACGATGATGTGCTTATTCCTTATCTTGCAGATTTAGCATTGGATGGCATGAAGCCAGACAAGAACTTCAAGGCTGAAGCTTATAAAATGGCTGCCATGAAAATCAACATGCAATTCAGGACTGATTTCACTCACCTGCATGTCATTAACCACTTGAAATGTTTGAGGAACAAATTCAATGACATGAAAGCTTGCCTTGATATAAGTGGTGTTGGGTGGGATGAAACAAGTACAATGATTACATTGGATGAGGAAACCTTGAAATCTTGGGCCCAGGTACAACAAATTCAGCATCTATCTTGTCACATTCAATTTAATATATTTGATTCTCTGGATTTATAAGTATTTATTATTGCAGGACAAATCCAATTCTAAGTACAAAGCGTACATAAACAAACCTCTTCCTCACTTCAAAAATTTACAAGTTATCATGGGTGATGATCAAGCCAAGGGTGATTTTGTTAGACCCGTGTACATTAACATTGGGTCTAGTAGGTCCATACCTATTCCCGATGATGATTGCGAGATTCTAGAGGAGAGTGAAACTGAACCACAGTCTGATGCTTGCAACCAACCACGTTCTGGTGCTGTTAACCAACCACAACCCACTAGATATAAGACTAAGAGTAAAGACAACACGACTTCATCATCTAACAAAAAAACCAGAAAATCTAATCGTGAAGAGGAAATGCTATGTGCCTTTGTTGAGTCCATGTCTCAGTCAATGAGAAATCAACACGTTATACACTGGACTGAGCAGTTGGCTGCAGCGTTGAAGGAACATAGGTCTGAATATTCTGAGGAGTTCCTCGATAGGGTTTTAGACCATTTATATGACAATGAACGTGAAGCTAGGAGGTTTTTCATAAAATCCAAGGAAAGTCAACAGAGGTACATCACAAAATTAGTTAACGACCAAGGTTGGCTGGATAGCTAGTTTGTTGGGTTTCGATTATATTTTGATGGATATTGTTGTGTTAATTGCAAACTATTAATGTTGCAATATGTATTTTCACTATGAAGAACATCTATGTCGTTGTGGGATTGATGAATTGGTATATTTGTAATCTTTGTTGCAGGTAAGGTTGTGGAATGATCAATGAGTTCTTTGAATTTTGCCTTTGCTTTTGACATCAGGTAAGCTTTCTGCAGCTCATGCTGCTGCTGCTGGTTGGTTTGTGCTTGTTTTGAGCTTTGTGCAGCTCAAGCTGCTGCTGCTTGCTGGTTGCTGGTTTGTGCCTGTTTTGAGCTTTGTGCAGCTCATGCTGCTGCTGCTGGTTGGTTTGTGCCTGTTTTGAGCTTTTTGCAGCTCATGCTGCTGTTGCTGGTTGGTTTGTTGCTGGTTTGTTGCTTTGTGCAGCTCATGCTGCTGCTGGTGGTTGGTTTGTTGCTGGTTTGTTGCTTTGTGCAGCTCATGCTGCTGCTGCAAATGGTTGGTTTGTGCTTGTTATGAGCTTTGTGCAGCAAATGCTGCTGCTGCTGGTTGTTTTGTGCCTGTTCTGAGCTTTCTGCAGCTCATGCTGCTGCTGCTGGTTGGTGTGTGCTTGTTTTGAGCTTTCTGCAGCTCATGCTGCTGCTGGTTGCTGGTTTGTGCCTGTTTTGAGCTTTGTGCAGCTCATGCTGCTGCTGCAAATGGTTGGTTTGTGCTTGTTTTGAACTTTGTGCAGCAAATGCTGCTGCTGCTGGTTGTTTTGTGCCTGTTCTGAGCTTTCTGTAGCTCATGCTGCTGCTGCTGGTTGGTGTGTGCTTGTTTTGAGCTTTCTGCAGCTCATGCTGCTGCTGGTTGCTGGTTGCTGGTTTGTGCCTGTTTTGAGCTTTGTGCAGCTCATGCTGCTGCTGCAAATGGTTGGTTTGTGCTTGTTTTGAGCTTTGTGCAGCAAATGCTGCTGCTGCTGGTTGGTTTGTGCCTGTTTTGAGCTTTGTGTTTTCAGGTTGATGCTGGGGTTGTGCCTTTTGATTTCAGCTTGTGCAGCAATTGCTGCAGGTGGATTTTGGTGCTGTTTTGTTTGAGCTTGTGTATTTTTCAAGCTTTGCTAGGGTTGTGCCTTTTGATTTCAGCTTGTGCAGCATTTGTACCAGTTGGGGGTTGAGGCTGTTTTGTTAAGAGCTTGTTAAACTCGTGGTTGCATTTTGTGTTGCTGTTTTGGTTTTCCTTGCCTGTGGGTTACTTGCTGTTTTGGTTTGCCTTGCCTGTGGTTTTCCTTGCACTTGATATGTGGCAATGATGATGATCAACGTTTACTGAGAATGCAACCTAACTTACATCGTTTATTATATCCAGATGAGGCAAAAGGGGATGAGATTGCAGCCTACATTGAATTGACAATGTCTAGGCGAGGCAATTCATCCTTATAATGCAATCTGTAATAAACATGTTTAAGTTATAGGTGGGGCAATCAATGATGACAAGTTGATCTATTACTGAGCCATACAATATCAATTAGAATTTGTACCCAATTCAAACAACAGTTTTCATTACATCCTCAGTAGTTCTTGCAAGTACAGGTACATGACATGAAGTTTGAAATAATTAAAATAACACAAAAAATTGCTAAGAAAATTGCAGAAATCTTCCAAACTAGTAGTTGATTTTCCACAAGTCTCAATTCTTTCTTCAGCTTCTTTGATTGCAAAATATATTTTCCTCCGTACCTATTTTCTTTGACATATTGGCTTCCTTGGTTGCTCGATGACTCTCCTCTTTCTTCAGCCCATTCGAAAAAAATTACATTCTTTATTTGGGAATTTTGCACCCCAATAACACCTACCCTTATTTTTACCATTCTTGCACACTTTCATCGGTGTTCGGAGATGGCAGTCGCAATAAACTTCATAATCCTGCCAGCACTCTTCTGATATCATTTTCATGTCGGGACAGCAAATTGAAGACAATGTGTATTTTATAAATGCTGAAAATGAGAATGCTTGGAATAATTGTGAGGCCTCAAGGTGAATTTATAACCACTATGGCCCTCTTCTAGCCGTTGCTACAGTGATCTGACTATGTTTTTTGAAATCTGAATTTTGAAGGCTGAAAAGAGCCGTTGCTACAGTGCTTCAAGCAATAAATTTGAATTAAGGCCTCTTCTAGCCGTTGCTACAGTGGTGTTTTAATTGGTAAAGAGGCTAGCTGTTGCTACAGTATCTATTCCAAAAAAAAGAGACTTTTTGAATCAAACATGGTATTAGGAATTGGACCAATTCTATAAAAGTGAGATTCCTAATCCTTTGGGTGAAACAAACATAGAATACCAAAAAAATAAGATTCCATAAAACTAAAACTTGTCTATACAAATTTTATGGATTAGATTAGAATCCATAAATAAAATAGGATTCTTAATCCTATTCCTACTCTCTATTGAACCAAACAGCCCCTCAGCCTACTAAAAGCTTCCCATCTTCTCGAGTCGCCCTCAAGCAAACGTTCGATCAAATAATAAAGGGTTAGTATTCACTTCATCCGTCCATCGAAAAATGAAGCTCGTTCGCCGCGATTTCGTCCCCAATGGACCCGGCAGCGTTAAGGCAAAACTCCCAATTCATCGATATCAAAAAAGTCCCTTTTTTTATTGCTTTTGTTGAAACTAGTCCTCTTAATTCTTTATAATCGCAGATGATTCCTGAGGAGGATGATGATATGTGGCATGCCTACAATTTGATCGCCGCTGGCGACGCCGTTCTCGCTGTTACCGTTAGGTCAGAAACCTCATTTTCTGTGGTCAAAAGAGTTTTCCCCTCCTCTTGTTTTATAAATTAATTGCAGGATTATGATTTAAGTGATAACTTCAGCAAGACTGTGAGAAGAGATGGGGAAAAAAATAATTCATGTATAGACCAAGAGACATTAGGAAAACATGTTTGGAAAAAAAAAGGATAGTTGAAAGGTGGAATAGGGCTGAGTGATCCAAAAGAAAGTGGTGGTAACTTCAATAGAGGATGAAATTTGTGCGAGAAAATCAATCTAAACTCTGCTTAATTCATGATTCAAGATTAAAATTCCAGCGCTTGTCTTGTTATATGATGGTTGTAGGCTTGTGGCTAAGATTTAGTGTGAATTTCTCTCATCACGGGGGAGAAGGTATGTTGCCTGTAAATGGCAAATGACTAAATTGAGGGGTTTTTTTTCCTTCTCTCAAGGACATTTAGTTATTTTCCATTCCCGTGAGGGAAAATGTTAAGGGGATTATGTGCAAAACCTCTCAAATTTCATGGGGTAACCCCACATAGGATTATTAAACCCATATATGTATGTATATGTATATCTACATTTATGTATATACAAGTATCTATATGTATATACATCTAGTTGTATATCATAGATATGCACACACATGGACATGCATAAATATAATTTAATACAATATATTTACAGATAATGTATTCGTATACATGCATGCATATTCATGATTTTATATGTATATACATACATGGTGGTGAACCCGTCTTGCTAGGCGCATCAGAGCGGGTGGATCTCATTGCTACTATCTTTTACTAATTCATTTTACTAAATGAGGTGGCAACTCATTTTATTAATGAGCTACCATGGCTGCTCATTTTATTAAATGAGCTACCAAGAGAGAGTTGTGGTAAGATCCACCTCATGTCACATCTAAGGTGGTGGACCTCACCACTCATATCTCTTGGCAACTAATTTGGCTAATGATATGACAACCCATATCCAGTATCACACAAGCACACAAGCACACAAGCACACACGCTCACATACACGTGCACTTGCACTTACAGAAAACACCCGCCTACCGACACACAGATGTGCATGTGTGTCGTGTATGCGTGCATCTTGGAAACTGTTTAGATTACCTCTAATTTCCAGTGGATACAAATTCACTTCATTTTCTTTGGGAATGGAGTTCTGAAATTATCGTTTTGATTAAGCTTTTTGTATCTGGTTATCTATAGATAGTGTATAGCTAAATTATGATTTTATAACTCAGCGTGAATGTATACCATGCACATAAAGTAGTCCCTATTAGTAAATTATGATCTCATTTTTTCAATTGCATTTCAGAAAAGTTCTAAGGGAGTCGGCCTCTGGAGGAAGAGATGCTGAAAGGGTGAAATTAAAGCTGGAGATTAAAGTTGAGGTAAAAGTTGGTTATTTATCTTGAAGAAAGGTTTTTTCTACGCAAGCCTGTTTAAATTTGCTCCAGAGGGAGGTATCATATTAAGATGTAACTTCTGATAGTTACCTCTCGCTAGGTGTTTGTTTTCTTGTGTCAATGAGACCTTCTCTCTGGCAGTCCATTGAATCTTTAATTTATCTTCTTAGGAACTCCAATGACAAGAAAAATGTCTGAGTTGGAACTTGGTTTTCTTTCCTATTTTGTGTGCCTATGAACAATATGTTTCAAATTGGACACTTCACTATCTCATGAGATGTATTATGTCTTGTCTTTTTTTTTTTTGTGGTCTGAAGCTCTTGGTATCTGGGTGTCAAATAATGATAGGTTAACTTATTCTTGAAATAGAGTGAGCTTGCCTTTGTTTGCCCCTTATTTTCCTTGATGTGAAGTTGGACCAAAACTGTAGGTTAGGTTAATTGCTGATAGCAAGTTTGCCAAATTTATCCTTGGACAGTAACCAATTTACATTCTTTTATGTAGGCCTCAATATGATGAAACTGTTTATGTGCTGGTGGTAGTGTGATTGCTTCTGATGGATTTTACGCTCTTATGCATCGTCAATTTATTTTGCTGTCTCCACTGTTGGTTACATTGTTTATTTGGTTTAATAGTTCCTTTGGTAGTCCTTATTATACTAAGGCTGATTTTTCATATTTTCAAAAAAGCATTCTTTGTTTTTCAGCATATAGAAATTATAAGTATGAAATGTTGGATTCCTACATGGTATCAACTGTCACATAAGAAGAGTGTTAAACTTAAAAAAATAAGCATGAAGATGTATATTGTAAAATTAGAAAACCATATCCTTGTAGAGTTGTGATTTGATTGTACATTAAATGGTGGCCTAAATGATTGTAGAATTTGTCAGTCTGTAGATTATGATAAGGAGGGTTCTGTCCTACGTATTCGTGGCAAAAATATCTTGGAGTCTGAACATGTCAAGGTTAGTTTTATCTCCAGAGGATCACACATTATTAATTAAGAAATAGCAGAGCAGCAGAAACTCTGATCATTTGATTTGTTCCTTATACGCAGATTGGTCAATTCCACACATTGGAAATCGAACCACATAGGCCTTTTGTGCTAAGGAAGGTATGTTCAGGAAGCTTAAGAGTTTTCTTTGGAGTTCGAGTTAAAGTGTTTATATGGTAGTTACAACAACATAGCACTGATGCATGAATTTATGGTGAAATTTCAATTTCAATTTTTATTTGTTGTTAGTTAAGAAAATCAGTTCCTGTCTTCTTTTTTGGTTGCAAGCTCACGTATCATACTGAAAAATGATTTCATTGGCTTCTTGCATTTATTGTAACTTTTAAGTCATAGAATATCTCAATATTACAGTGTATAAATGATCACTTCCTTTCTGCTGTCATTTATCTTTAACATCATACAATACTGCTGTTTGTGAAAAAAAGTCGATTTTAGCTATAACTTTTTAAGTTAAAACTTTGTTTAATTTAAGTTTATCACAAACTTCCCCGTTGTGTTCTTTACTCTGATGTTTATTTAGTATTTACTTCCATATGCTAAGAAGTTTTTGTATTGTCTTTTTTTTTCCTTCCTTAGTGTAGGCCTGCTTAATTTTTTTAAATACTCTAAAAGCTTGCCTAATTTTAGCTCGAGGTAAAGTCAATTGGATTACAACCCCGAACTTTTATACATCTCAACCTATTCGGAGTCCTTGCGGATTAGGAAATGAATAGTGTCTGTTCGTTACATTTTTAGAAACATACTGAAGCATTTTACTTGATAACTTTTTAATCTATTGGCCATTTGTTTTTCTTTGAATTACTAGTAATATTGCCGATTTCATAAGTATGATGTTTAACTGTTTAAAATATATTAATTAGATCGAAAAAGATGACAGGTAATGGTGCAATGATAGTGCATGAGGAATTGTGAGTCTTGACTTTGAATGCGTATTTCATAATAGCTTAATGCAAAAACTTGTCCTATTATTGTGTCCAAGGAGAGGTTACCATGAATTTGTATGTCGTTTTATTGTTATTCTGACCATGAATGTTATCACATCATCAAGCACCTCCTGTATTTCTTCTTTTTCCTTCCAGTAGCTTTTTTTATTCCCCATCAACTTCCTGCAATGTATAATCACTAATGTTTTAAAAGGCTTTTTTGAAATTCGCTTCGAAACTTTTTGAAGGGTAAACGCTTTGAAACTAAACTCAAGTGAGAAGCTATTTATCCATTGAAGCTTACGCCTCATCGCTTAAAGCATAACTGAAGTGTACACTTCGTGCTTCATAAAGCGCTTCTCTTTTGAAGCACATACTTTAGACAAGATAGGAGGATATAAAAGGATTTTGGACTAATATTAAAATTCCCGGTGTATCAAGAAAAGTGACCATGTGAGTGTAAATAAAGTATGTAAGTTATGAATGTAGCTTAGTTTATTATGATTTGCGTCTATACTTAACATATTTATTTCTTATTTACTAATTAGGACATGAATGTATCTCTTTGTAAATTCCCATGCCACTGTATATCACATGTTCATACTTTTTATAACTTCAAAATCTAAATACTTAAACTTATGAGGCTTACACCACACCTGTTGAAGCTTATGCTTCACTTCATTAAAGGGTCTAACACTTCACCTTGCTCTTCCGTTTTTTTAAACAATTGATAATCACTTGACCCTAGTTCTATGTGATGTAGATAGTTTCTTGTTTATTACTTTAGGTTCAGGAAAACTGAAGAGGTTATGCACTTATGCTTTTAAAGTTTCAACCTTTATAAAAAAATTTATGGAGGATCTATCTCATTTGAGACTGAAAATTTGGGCCTGTAATTCCCAGTTCTACTGATGTGCTAACAATTGTTCATATTGAGTTCAGTGCAAACTACAGGTAAGTCTTCTTTCAAATGGGGCCTCGTCTTTTGATCAAGAAATGAAAATATCATTTTCGTCACTATTCTTGCAATGTTATTTCCATTTTTGGTCTCAAACTGTACAGGATTTATAAATGTTCAGAGTTCATTTCTGTAGATTTTCTATTAAGGAATTTGATATGATATTCCCAATTATTCTTTCTATTAATGCATGTTATACCACATTGGTTTATTCTATTCACAGAAGTTACAGAACCAATCTAGTTCTACAAGTTTATACAGCACATGTGTTACTTTCTTGTTTTGTACAAATTCACCTTTTGCTTTTGTCTATTTTTTAATATTTACATAGCATTTTTTCCCGTGGAATCATAACAGGAGGTTTGGGATTCAATGGCGCGAGATATCCTCCATCAAGCATGTGGTATGTGATCTTTCTCACAGTACATGCTACATCATGCCTTTTCATTTTTTTTGCCGATATCCCTTTTCCTTTTCTTAATGTTTCTTTGAGTACAACCCCATTACTTCCAAAACCAGACAACCTGCTTCTCATGGATACACTTATTTATTTCTCTAATGATAAACTGTAGCAAATGATTCTTTAGTTTTCACCGAAAATCAGAGTTGCCCCACCTCCTCATAGAGTATTTGTAACATCCCCTATTTTATATTTCATCTGAGGTTTTATGTGATTAATGACACTGAATATCAGAGACGTGACGAAATTTATGGAACTTACTAGATGATACATAAATTATGTTGTGTGAATATGTGGTTCTGAAAGAAAACAGATATAATCTTTCTTTGGATGAAAATCTGGGGTTTAGTAAACTTTATAATTTTCTTAAAGACACTGCTGCTTGACAAATGCTTTTTTCCTGTTAGGTTGCTATGATGTGAATTTGTACAGTGCCAACCCAACTTATGTCGTGTCATATTTGACACCATATTTGATACCTACTTAATCTCACAAAATTATGCTTCAAAATAGTTTGGTATTTGACCCACTAGAATATGAGATTTTTGTCTTCTTGTACCTTACTGGCTAGCAAACTAGAGAGTCATTGCTCCCACAAATAGTCAACACACTTTGCTAAAAGCTGTTGCTTTCATGGACCTTTGAGATTGTAATATAATTACAATATGTTTGATATCGCTGACAAGTGACAACAAACATATGTTTGATGTTGCTGACAACAAGGACATTCTTTTCCCAAATATCTTGTTTCAGCATAATGAATCTTTTTCTTACTGCCTATATTTGTATGTTCTACACTAGAAAAACATAATATATATATTTTAGTTTTTCATCATATACGGAGAAACCTTGATATTATCTTAAAATGCTTTGATATTATCCATACCTTCCTGATATCTGCGAAGCAGCTCAACAGGATTTTTTGAAGTAACATCATGTGCATGACATTCTTCAAATGATTCATGATAGCTTGGAGTTTCATTAGTCTTAAGTCCTTCGTTGTTCTGTACTACGGCGTTCATGGAAAATTTATTATTATTTGTCATTTTAAATATATTTTTATGGTCATCCTTTTCTTTTGCATTTTCATGGGAGTAAAAATTGAAGCATTTTACTAAATGAAAATCATATTACAGATCCTGCTGCAAGTGCTGATCTATCTGTCGTGCTGATGCAAGAAGGATTGGCCCACTTGCTTCTTATAGGCAAAAGGTAGCTTGAAACTGAAACCATCAGATTCAACATTGAATAACTAATAGGATTTTTTTAAGATGAATTTTTTTGAGATGTTAAAAAAGTAAAGGACAAAACTGTGTTAATTCTTATTTTTAAAGATATCAGACTTCTGCTCCTTGCTGTGTTATTCACTTGTGGGTTTGAAAAACGTTTCAAAACTAGCAGCAACTGCATGAGCAGCGTAGACTTTGGAGCGAAAGCTTGAATTTATTTAGTGTTATGGTTACAGCCTATATACCAGTTAGGTGCTAGACGTGAAGTGCTTTTTATTGTTATGGCTTTCCTTGCTTACAATGTTTTCTTCCTTAGGGCTTTCTAGATCACCTACAATGTGTGTGTATATAAAAGGTATTACCCTTTTCATTAATCAGTCAATAAGAAGTGAAATATTTTGTAATTCTTGACCTACGTTACCTGAGTACTTCAAATCAGAAGCCGTACCCGAAACTGGCAGCAGTTGTCGTGCTGATGCAGGAAGGATTGGCCCACTTACTTCTTATAGGCAAAAGGTAGGTTGAAGCTCAAGACATCAGATTCAGCATTGAATAACTAAATAGGATTTTTGTAAGATGAATTTTTTTGAGATGTAAAAAAAGTAAAGAAAAAAAAACTAAAAAAACTATGTTAATTCTTATTTTTAAAGATATCAGACTTCTGCACCTTGTTGTTTTATTCACTTGTGGGTTAAAAAACATTTCTAAACTAGCAGCAGCTGCATGAGCAGGGTGGACCTTGGACTGAAAACTTGAAATTATGTAGAGCTTTGGTTACAGACTATATACCAGTTAGGTGCTAGATGAGAAGTGCTGTTTATTCGTATAGCTTTCCTTGCTTACAACATTTTCTTCCTTAGGTCTTTCTAGATCACCTACAATATGTGTGTGAAAGGTATTGCCCTCTTCATTAATCAATTAAAAAGAAGTGAAATATTTTGTAACTCTTGACCTATGTTACCTGGGTACTTCAAATCGGAAGCCATACTCCACATGTACCTGTACGGAAACTTCTTGGACACTTATTGAATATATGCATACGTTTATTCAGGCATATACTCAATTATAAAATACATGTTGTCATTTAAAACAGTTCTCATATACTTTCTGGACTTATATTCTACATTTCACATCTATTTATTATATATTGATCTTATGTAAATAAAAAAAAAACAGTTTTGATCTTATGTAAATTATTAATACACATAACATATATAGTCGTGTCCTCGTACCCAACCTTTTACAAATTTACCGTGTCCCATACCCGTACCCGTACCTATATCCATGCAACTTAACTCTTGATATACTATCAGAGTAAGGCTGCTGACCCTAGAAAAGCACTTTTCTTCCATAAACCTCAGGACCATCAAAGGGGCCACCACCACGAGCTCTAACTCTGTGCTTTCACCCAGGGTGGCTCTGTTGCCTTCCTACCTTGGTGGCTCTCATGTTAAGGCATACAACATTTCCATCACCATGAATCCTTATTTGATCATAGTACCTTCAAGATCCTCTGCACAATGTGGCAATCTCCTAGATAGCTTGACTCCGTCCTCTTTTTCAGATCCCTCGCATCATCTATGCCCCATGACCCTCCTCTCCATGGCCATGATCGACCACGGGATATTTTCTCCATCAATGTTGCTGAATACCTGTCCTCATCAATCCTCCCCTAATGAATTTTTCTCCCTTGATATCATTGGATTCCTATCTCTTGCCATTGATGTTGCTGCTGAGTGTTTGCCAACTGTGGTGCTAGATTTAAATCCTGATTAGTTGATCTTGGCAACAATGAGTTTTTCTCCACTGTTGGATTCTAAATTTCTAATTCTTTGCATCTATATCATGGTTTTAAAACTTTCTCTGTCAATCTCATTGACTAACTTTTTCACCAGGGATCATATCAGGCATCATATAGTTAACATGAGAGCCATTAGCCATGAACGCATGAGGGGGTCACATGTTTGGAAGCTCAACCAATAATGATTAAATATTTAAAGCGTGAGTTAGTTTTAAGGCAGTGACAGTAATGGCTAGACTGTATGGACTGTTGGAGATTAAATTTTCAAGCTCTTGATGGAGGTTTGTGCTTTAAGGAGAGTGGAAACTACCAGATATAGCAGCCATTAATAGCATTTGCCATTTGTGGCTTGTTTTTTTTGTCGGCTGCATAGAAATGTCTCTTCTAGGTATATGCCATGAACAGTATGATTTCTTCTTAACATTTGAGCTCCTGAAAGTCTTGTATTCTCTTTGATGGAATGTCGAAGAGACAACATTAGCCTGTGCCCTATGGTGTCATACATTTTCTGTTGCTTTGTTAATGAAGCCCTTCCCTGCTGATGTTTCTGCTGGTGGTGGTTTCTCTGTGTTCCATCAGTAGCAAAGACTCTGAGAGGTTGCAGGGGAAACATTGGGTGGAACCAATATGAAACTATCACTTCTTTTCTTCGGACTGCTTATTTCTTTCTTCTCAAAATTTTCTATGCATGATAAACTGTGGTGCACTTCCAATTTAATTTCTTGCTTCTGTTTGAGCAGCATAACAACAACTCGCTCTCGAATAGAAACATCGATTCCACGGAAGCATGGTCCTGCTATTGCTGGCTATGAGTCGGTATGTTATGTTATAATTTATTCTCCTTCTTGAAGACCTAATCTATATTCTATAGAATTGTTTAAGTTTAATTTGATCCAAAACTTAAAAATTGCTTTCTTTGCAGGCTTTAAAGAAGTTTTTCGAGAATGTCTTACAGGTGGGTTTGTCTGGACATGATATTTTCCTCTTGCAAATATGGGATGTCCTTGATTTAAACTGCACTCCCTGTTACGTATTTTTGAAGCTTGCAGTTCTATGCATATGTTTTAGGCTTTATTGAAGCATGTCGACTTCAAGATTGTTCGATGTCTTGTGATTGCAAGCCCTGGTTTTACGAAGGTTGGTTTTTCTAATAATATCTGATGGTTTTCGGCCCTCGTATAAGTCATGTTGATCTTCACTGGCTATTTGCATCTTTAGCATCATAGTGAGATGTTTGTGTTGGAAGTAAAAGAGATTTGAACCGATTTTATGGACCAAATTTATTGACGTAGAATTTCAAAATTCTAAGTTAAATGAGTTCTAGGTTTTAGCAACCTATTTTAACTTATCATATATGTAGATACTCTATAAACTTGTCAAAAGTCTTTGAACATTTGAGAGTCCTTTTCTATGTTATATCCTTGACCCTCATTTTGTATATGAAAGGAAGATTTTGCAGCTTGTCCCACAAAGACTTAATTGACACTTATTTATGATTCACATAAAAAAGAAATTTTCAAAAAAGATACATCATTTTATAGTCCTTGAAACTTGAAGATCTGTGCAGTAATTGTCTTTTATATATTTTTGAAGTGATTAAAGGTGAATTATGAATTAGTAGTTATATGCATACTTTATCATTTTATTCTCATATTTCATGATATCATTTTCAGTAAAAAATAGAAGGGATTGGATAATATTTATCATTTTCTGTTGTCCTGACGTTTCTCATCTGTGGTTCAAAATAAGTTCCAGATGCCAAATCGCTCTTGTTAGCTCATCATCATAAAAGTCTAGATGATAGCCATGGAAAAAAAAGAGGGTATACGGATTTTATTTGGTTTCAAAGTGTTTCTGGGTTTTGAAGTTAATTACTTACTGTCTGATTTTCAAGCCTTGCTGAGATGCTGTTTGATAACTTTGTTATAAGCCCAGAGTAATGTACAATTGTCATGCTGTTTTATGCTGCATTCATGATAGTTTTGTTCGCCATTTTGAATCAACTGCTTTGACTATCATGTCATAAAATAGTTTGTTATGTATTTTTTTATAATGACTAATAGCTTAAGGATTAAATTGGAATATGTTGAAGGATCAATTCCGTGATTATATGTTGTTGGAGGCAGAAAGGAGACAGTTACGACCCATCATCGAAAACAAATCACATATCATCCTTTCACATTCAACATCTGGATACAAGTAAGCTCTCCCACAATTTTTTAAGCAGGAATTCTCATGGATTTGCTTTGGAATATAAATATTATGTTATTGATATCTTATATGCGTTTATACAAAGTTATGATGTTCTATTGTCATTTGTCACACAGCAACATCTTGCAGTAAAACAGTCTAACATAGTCCATTCCCATGGTGATAGTGGCATGATGTGGCTTTTATCATACATTAGTTTTCCTTTGCCTTGCTGAACTAAAATTGGAACCTTACCATATAGCTTGTTTATGTATTCATGATTTTAATTCTGATTCATGTATTGGCAAAATAAATCCTATGGCAGAGGTCTTTTTTGAGAATTTTTTTCTCTTTTTGCCTTTTGTTCTATCTTTTTTGGTGTTCACTGAGTAGCGGCTTCTGGTCTATGTGTGAGAATGCTGTGGCAGATTTTGTGTTCTTTGTAGCTTCTGTTCAATCTACATAAATTTATGTTTTCTGATTAGTTCTTTTTTTTGTTCAGCGAGTACATGGGCTCTGGTCTAAGTGTGTAATTTAAACTTCTTTTCAATCAACCTAGATGAAAATATAGCTTAAGGTTTCAGATCCTATATATGAAATTTCGGAAGAAATCTGCATTGGTGTTTGAAGGAGAAGTGGAAACTCGGTTATAAACTTCTTATTAAAGTGAAGACGATAAAGGCAGCAACCATTAAGCTTTATAATTTATGTTCAGCAAAACAAAAAAACTGTCCTAAATGTATGATAGGGGACAAGTTGATCCAAACAGTGCGTACTTTCATGCTGTAGCTTTTTTTTTCTTCTAGAAGTTCTTGGAACATTAAAGCATATAAGATTCTAAAGTTACTTACCAATATACTTGATCCGATAATTTGATGTTACAAAGATGATAGTTGAAGTTCTCTCTCTCCTGTAATCCAAGTCCAATTTGTCTCAAATATAATAAGAAGAAATATTTTTTTGAAGCATGAAGTATATTTGGGTAGATGCGATGCTGCTGCTTTAATTACTGTTCATTGTTGTCACTACATGGGACCTCTATGTGCCATACCGTACTTTGCACATAGCTTACTGAGTGCTGAATGTGTTATTCATTGATTTTTTTCCAGTTCCTAGCAAAGGATATATGAACATATTATTGATGGCATTTGGTATAGTTAACATTTAAACAATTTAAATACTAAATATTTCTTCAAAATTTTCTAGTCAGTCTACAATAACTCTATTTCTTGTAAATAAGGAAAAAACTTGTTTTTGATTTTTTTGGAGCACAGGCATAGCTTAAAAGAGGTACTGGATACACCTAATGTCATGGCTTTGATAAAAGATACAAAGGCAGCACAGGAGGTAATTTAGGATGAGGCTGCTACCGAGGGTTTTTATTATCTTGCTATACATATTGCAATTTCCCTGTCTGTATATCTTCCTACATCGTCCTTACTTTATTATGCGATCTCTGAGTATCTGTTATTCGCATATTTCTTTCAGGTTCGAGCTCTGAAGGATTTCTTTGATATGCTGTCAAATGTTAGTTTCTACACTGGATACAACTTCTATTCTATCTTATAATGTTTATTTATGTATTTTTAATGAGTTTAAGTGGGATATAATTGTATTAGGCTTAATTCCATGGTCCTTGTCTTCAATTAAAATTCTCCTTTTGTAACTATGTGATAACCTAGGATACCCTGACACGGCTAGTAGGGGGCCGTACCCGTGTCCGACACGTTTCAGGTAAGGATCCGCACCCAAACGGCGTGGACACGGGAAATTTTCACTAGCCATGAGTTTTCCTTTTTTTTTCAAAAAAACTGGCCATGAGTTTCTAAGGTTTGAGGCTGAGCAAAGAGATGAAGAAGATGCTCTCTGTTCTCTCTCTCCCCAACTTTTCTTAATTTTTTATTGCTTTAGTGGAACATGACATCATGCATCACATGGGGTAACTCTCTCTGTCTCTCACTTCTCTCTCTCACGTCTCACCCCCTTTTCTTAACTTTTTAAATTTGTTTAACTGGAAGATGACATCATGTGCCACATGGGTAAAGTTGGGGCTGTTTAACCATGATGTCTCATTAAATTTTGTCATTTTTTGGTAAAAATAGCAGCAGTATAGCAGTGGGTACCTTCAAAGAAGTTTGGTTTGTTTTCTTTTATTTTTCCCCCTTTTAAAGGACATAGTTCAAAGGGGCTTGTTTCATTTGGGAGATTGAGAATGAGTTTGAATACAATGAAAGAACCAAAAAATAAAAGAAAAGGTTGAGACATAAAAGATAATTGTTATATATATAGCTGATATTCCCTTGAAAGCCATTCTTGAAAGCCATTGATCTGCAAGTAGGTATGTAATTTACTATTGATCTAAAGTGATTTTTTTTATATATACACAGCCGTCCCCGTACACTACTTTTTACAAATTTTTTCGTGTTACGTACCCGTACTTGTACCCGTACCCGTGTCTATACAACATAGGTGATAACATATCACCTGGAAGTAGCTATTACAATGGCTTTTGCATGCTAGATAGTCAACATATTTCAGAAATAGTATGTCAAGATAACTGGAGAATTTGGATTGGTAGTCTAGGACCCCTTTTGTATGCATAGTTTCAGCTGGGGCAATTAGGTTTACAGAGTAGCAGAAACATTTTAGCTGTGCCTAGTTTAGGCTTCTTATAAAATTTGGTCAAGGTCACTTCTGAGAAGGAATAAGTCATAGACTTCATATACGTTGGGGAGTATCAACCATTCTGCTTGCCTTGTTGGAATTGCAGATTGAGAAATTATCTCACTTTCTAAAATTGAAGTGATTGTAGAAGCTCATGAAGTCCTGTTACATTTTAAATTATAGGTGCCTTGTAACAATCTGAAGGTTACAAATATATGACGTAGGGATGCAGTTTTAAGTTAAGCAGAAGTCACAACCAGATATTTAGGAGTCAGGTCATGAATTTAAGTCCAGTAACTTGGATTGGGTGCAGTATTGTTAATTACAATCATTCAGGTGTTTCTTATCAATCAAAATAACTGACCATTCCATTGACATCAATAATATATTAGCAATCAATTAGGATCAGAATTGCATAATAATGCATGAGCTTTATAAGTGACATTGATAATCAGATTTACCAACAAATGTTTCAAGTTTAAGTTGAGATGGAAAATTGAAATGAAAAAAAAAAATTGTCTGAAAGATGGACCCATTAGCTATTTCTTTTATAACTAGCATTAGTCTACGTGAAAATGCATGTACAACTGACATTAAAACTTCTTTACTCTAAATTATATATGAAAAGGGTCATGTTAATACCCTAAAACTATCATAGATACTTTAAGATCTTTTATGATATTTTTTTTCATTTAATATGCGATATTTTATCTTAGCTTATTCGAAATTGGTTATGACATATTTATATTGAAATTCTAATTGTTGTTTTTATTGCATTTATTTACTTGGAAAAAAACTTTATCATTTCAAACTTATATCTTTTTATAATATACAATGTAATAGATACTTATTTAGTATATGCTTCAGAAACTTCTAGAACTAAAGAAAGAGAGGAGAAGAAAAGGAAAAAAATTGTGTGAAATGACCAAATTGTCTTCACTTCTTTAGTGAGATGGACATTTTCCGATGTCCTTCGAACTTTTCCTACACTCACTAAGTTTTTAATATAGTAGTATAGATATGTCAACTATATTTTCCTTCTTTAGGATTTTCCTTGATTATAGTTTTCCTACCTTCCTTCAAGACTTTCTATAAATATCGGACAATATTTATATATGAAAAGGATTGAGGGACTCATATAGATGTAAACAAAATCTACTGTCACAAACCTGTTTTTTCGTTGGTTGATTTATTCCTGTAGTGAGTTGGGATTCTGGTAAAAATTTCATTTCTGACCTCCCTTTTACCAATTATATGGCATTTACGTTAGTCATCAGTTAAGTGAGACACAATCAATTGGAGAATTTCTGAGTTAGTAGGCTCAGGAATGTTGGTTAGCATTATGCAACAAAAACTCAGTTGTGCATTTTTTATTGTGTCAAATTATGAAATATTCAGGATGAAAGGAAAGGAGTTAAAGATCATTCCATAGTCATCTCAAACTTGTTCGTCTTGCTGTTTGAGCATATGCTTAATGAGCTTCTGCATTAATTTCCTTGTTCTCTATGCATGGTTATTGAGTGTTTAGGCATAAACAAGATATTCAATTTCTGCTTTGCATACTTTTCTTTATAATACAAGCTCTTCATGTCAAAGGCACAAAGCTAAATAATATGACCCCTTTGCAAGTGGAAGTACGAATCTTTGTAGTTCTTGCAAAATGTGAGAGTAGATGAGAACTTGAAATTTTGTAATGTGTTAATACCTAACACTTGGTCAATAATATCTATAATGTGTTTTTCATAAATTTATAACTAAATATTTATTTCTTTTTACATTGGAGAGTTGAATGGTGCTCGACTTGTCATAAATAGTGCATCATTAATCTTGTACATGATAAGGACAGATGTTTTAGTTTTTGGTTTGTTATGTGTATAGCTTAATCTTATTTCATAATGCTTGTTATAATACTGTGTATATATGTATGCGACACTATCATAATGTCGTTGTAGCTTCTACTGAAGAAATACTATCCGACTTGATTTTTTTTTATCTTAGAGTGTATTTAATTTCTTTCCCTCTGTCTCCCTCTCTATCTGATTTGTTAATATCGATATGCAGGATGCTGATCGTGCTTGTTATGGACCTAAGCATGTTGAGGTTGCACATGAGCGGTTGGCTGTCCAAACTCTCCTAATTACCGATAGTTTATTTAGGTCAGTATATAGTTGTTTCTTGTTGATGGTCTTTGATTCTGTATAAATAGATCGAAGTTAAAAAGAACTCTAAAATAGTTTTGGTATTTGTTTAGCCATTTTATTATGCACTTGCCTCCCTGCATTAACTTTTTGTTCGTTAAAACCAATTTGGATGTCGTAGTTTGCAGTAGTTTACTACTCATTTATTAAGGGAAAGTTAATTTGCAGCTCTTCTCTTGTTGTTACTGAAAAGTTATGAAACGCAAGGTTTAACCTTGGAGTACAATATTAGGCTGCACACACATACACATGTATATGTATATGTATGTACGTACGTACATATGTACTTACGTGTATATGTATGTATATGTATGTGCGTCAGTGTGTCTGCATGTCTCTCTGTGTGTGCGTGTGTGTGTGTCAGTGTGTTCGCGCGCGTGACACTAAAGTAACCAGTGATACTATTACTTGATAAGCATAGTTCTGAGGTAATGTTTTCTGGTTATTGAAAACACGAAAAAAAAGCATCATAAATGGATCATATACATTGTAAAACTTTATCAAAATGTGGGAGTATGTGTCTGATTTTGGGAAGCTGATTAGCACTTGCTGAAATTTTCTACATATTTTCATTTCTATGGTAATTTTCATAACTCTAATGTATTACTTTAAATTCATTGTAAACTATATACTTTTGTTTCAATGTCTATTAAGATGGAAAAAGTAGTCAATTTGCATTTTTTATGTTGACCCATATCGCTTCCCTTTAGGATTTATGTTGAGTTTAAAAATCCATGTAGTTTCTCTCAGAATTCTATACTGGTCTTATAAATCAGGTGGAAGATACATGTGCATGCAGCTCGGTAGCATGTACTTGCTGTGGCCAATCACCAAAATTATCAGATTTAATTTATTTATTTTCCTTTTTTGAACATTAAAAATTTACAATTAAAGATTAAACTCACCTCTCCAAATAATTTTGTAACCGTGCAGTAGTATCTGATTTGTACCATGTTACTTTCAAATATTTAATTTTTTTTGACAAACTATAGATTGAGTTCACTATTCTTACAATACCCACATTTGTTTCTGTATACTCTAAATGACATATATTCATGACGACATCTGTGTTTGGTCCACCACATTGTTAGCAACAACTTGCATCCACCTTAACGTGGTAGAGATTTATCTCTGCGTAAACTTGTTCTCTACTTTAGTGCACTTGCTTGCTTCATTTTTAGCGTAGCTTCTTTGATTCTTTAATTCTTAAGGCCAGGGCATGAGTATCTACCAAGCATGACAAAGTAGAGGATATAGTTACATTGTGTTGTCAAGTCATGGAACTGTTTAGGTAATTGCAGTAATCTAGTTCAATGACTCGTAACTTTATTGTGTGTGAATTCCCAATACTTTCTCATGTTTGGCTTATTATTCGGCTATTGAACAAGGATGGGGTTCTAAACAAATCTCAGCCATTCACAAATTTCATTAACGCCCATGGTTGTCTTTGTACAAATTTGAAGTGCACTCTCAACACCAAAAAAGTGCACCAACTACAGAATTATATCCCTAATTACATCAAAAAAACATACTGTAAACCCAAAAACTGCTGAAACAAACTATAACCCTCCAAGTTTCTGCATAAAAGCACAGCTAGATATGTACGAACAAAACATCAAAAAGAACATCTACAGCATCAACATGGAAGACAATTCCTGGACAGCAGCAGTAACTACAACTTTTGAAGATCCATCAGTGGTCCAGCTCCCCGAATTTCTATCTGCAATTTCTCCATCTTCAGCAGCAGACCCTCCTGTTGAACCTCCCTCATTAGCAATAACCACATTCATTCCCACATTACTCCCAGCAGTAGTAAAGTTGACAACAGCAAGATCTTCAGCTCCACTAGATATTAATCTTTTGTTGATTCATCGCCTTTAACACATTGTCTCACAAAATCTACCGGGCAAGTTACCTATCCAAAACAAAGCAAACTATTTAATCTTACTCCATAATTCCAAAACATGTAGCTTTTTAATCTTGAAAAACTCTCAAATTCCTCTCATGCCATATAGACCAAGTCAAAGCACACACAAAGATATCCCAACACAATCTTTTGTTTTTAGGTGTATTATCAACCCTTCACCCAGACCATAAGTCTGACATATTCAATCACTCCATTAATCTGAAAATAATACAGAAGTGATTTCCAAAGAGAAGATACAAAATCACATCTTAAAAAAAATATGAGTACAGGTTTCTTCCTGTCTGTTAAAAACATATTTATTATCAATTTGCAAATCTTTATTGACCAAATTACTTTTAGTATTCAATTTAGTGATAAAACACAGCCATAGCAATGACTTCAACGTACAAGGAAGAGGGACATTCCAAATACAGTCAAAATCACATCTTACTCCCCCATCAATATGAAAATGATAAAATGATCTAATGGTAAAAATACCTTTATTTTCCCATCTCCAAATTCTAGAATCCCTCCTATTATCAGAAGAATAACCTGTAAAAGTTTTAAATAAAACACCAAGTCCCCTTGAATTTGCCTGACAAAACTAATGTTCCTTTCCCAATTACCTTTTGTTCCATTCACAATTACCATTACTATAATTTCTAAGAGATTTAACAGAGGCATGAGATCTTTCTACTAAGTTGAAAGGGTCTGCGGATAGAGAGGATAATGAGCAATCAGTACATCATTTGTCAAGACAGAACAAAGTATGATCACCATAACCAACGTTCACACTAGTACTCAAAAGAAAAGTATCAAAGGACAAAAGAATGTTTTTTCCAAAAGTTAGAGATATTTATCCTTTCATCAAGGATAATATCCCCGCCATTATAGTAATTATGAGATAGTAAATGTTTCCATAAAGGAGAGGAACCATAATATCACCTCCAGAGCCATCTACCCGACAAAGCCTTGTTCATAATTTGTAAGTCTAAAATCCCCAAACCACCAGATCTTTTAGTTTGACACACTTTTTAGTTTGACATACTTTTTTCCAAGCTACAAGGTTACTTGCATTAGACTTATCATCCCCTCCTACCCAAAAGAATCTCCTTCTAATCCTATCCATTCTATCACAGACCCATTTTTAACTTGTAAGTCTGAAATCCCCAAACCACCAGTTCTTTTAGTTTGAGTCGTTTGACACCCTTTTTTCCAAGCTATAAGGTTACTTGACTTAGACTTATCGTCCCCTCCTACCCAAAGAATCTCCTTCTAATCCTATCCCTTCTATCACAGACCCATTTGGGAACGAAAACATAGACATCCAAAATAATGGCATAGATGTTAAACGGAATTAATCAAAGCAAGCTTCCCTCCCCTAGATGATGTTTTACCCTTCCAACTAGTTAGTTTCTCTAAATTTCCTCAAGGGCATCCAATCCTCCTTTAACAGTTTCCCTATCCTAAGAGGAATGCCAAGATAAGTAACTGGGAAAGCACCAATCTGACAAGTCATCATTCCAGCAAATTGTTGTTGCAAATTT